TTTTATGAGCAATTTAAACAGCAATTTATTACACCAGAATCCAACAATTTTCAAATGTACTGTTTAGTAAGACACCGTGTCTTGGAGATCGTGGAACATGCGTCTTGGAAGATGTAGAAGCTGAGGAGGGGCGAATAAGAAAGGAAAGAGCGCAGATTTCGCGAGCGACCCACCCGGAAACACGATCGTCGCGATGATATCGGCGCACATCCGGTTGCGGCCGTGTGTATAACTTCCATCGGAGTGGCGTACGTCGCGTCGGTTGGGAAAGGCGAACGCGTGGAGGAGAAAGAAGAAACGTAGGGTGAAAGAGTGTCCGTCCACACCGTTTAGTCATTGGCTGCTAACACGGCAAAACCAACTCCTTTCCAGCGTGGGTCGCGCGAGTATTTAATAGGAAGCAATGAGCAACAGGTCTAACCGAGCGTGCTTGGGTTACGCCCATTCGAACGCGTTCCCCGTTCTGGAACCGCTGTTTTCTCTTTATCGGCGTGGCTTTTCTCCCTTCTACGATCGGGACGTCGACTAACCGGAAGCCGACGTCTTGATCTACCGCGACAAGAGCACGGCAGAGGAGGATCAGTTCAAGGAAAAGCTAAAGTCTTGTCTAGGTGAGATATTTTTAATGACGAATGAAAGAAAATATTATTCTGATTTGTTGTTTGTTTAGTAAACACTGCAATCAGAATTGGGCAATTTGTTTAACCCTTTGCACTCGACGCCTTTCTTTCTGGTATCTATTAGGTTGTCCCAAAAGTTTCTTCCGTGACTTGCATTCAGTTATTTTGTGTGGCAGTGTTTATACAATTAGACAACCTAATTTCTTCGACGTTAATGTCGTAACTGTAATGGAGCAAAATGAATTGTACGCAATTCAATAATGTAACATTATAAATAAAATGTTGTGTATGTATTATTATTTAAGGAAATGGAAGAAACTTTTGGGACAACCTAATACTAGCAACTCGAGATGCTTTCTTAGCATTCTATTGCCACGAATCCTAAACTTAATCAGATCACCTTTACTTCCCCGACAATCATTTTATCGGCACTTCGAGTTCCAAGAAAATTAATTATTATTGCTGGCAGATTTACTGCGTCGACCCTAGTGGCGACGGAGAGTCGCCTCTCGAGTCCAAAGGGTTGAAGAAAAATTGAGAAATAATTGTTTGGTATTCGAATAAGTTAGAAGTAGGTGTAGTAGATGATGGTCATGAAAAGAAAATTTCTTTAATTTAGAAATGAAAGGACCAAGTAGCGATGAAATTAAAAAAAGTTTATCAAATATACAGTCGAAATAGTATAATAGGTCTCACTGATATGCTACGTTAATGGCATGTGAGGTTGGGTAGGTGTCTGTACAAAAGAAAAGCTTCTACAAAGTTATCAACATTTTTATTTCATTATTTACTTGCAGGAGCCCTGTGGATGTACGATTGACACTTTACCCATTTCAATTATGGAAATAAATGTGTATTATAGAAGCTATAACAATAGATGGTACGTAAAATATATAATTAGACCGCGAATCTTCATGCAAAATAAGATCTTCATAAACATACCTACAAAAATTGAATCCATTTTTTAAATAAAAAGGAATTTATTTTACTCTGTCAATATTATAATATGA